AAAAAAATTTGTAGATCTGATTTATGATTTTATTAACTGTCAGTGGAGTATGAATTATGATAAGCTACACTACTTTTGAATCTTTCTTTTTTGTTTTACAACATCTATAAATCATATTAAAAGTAAAACAGGAAGTAAAGAAGTTAGTAACTTAAAATATGCTTCATATTCTTTATTGGTAAACAGAAGTGATATGTTAAGTTATGAACAATTAGATATAAATATGAAAGTTAGTGTTGATGATTACTACAGTATGGGTCATGCTTATGCTTAAACTTTTTATACATAAACCTTTGTTTTCAACTATCAGTAATAAGTTTAATATGATTCAGGTTTATTTTTGACTTTTCTTGCTTCTTGTTAATAAAATTATTTTAACTCAGTCATTTAAAGTTTGTTAGAATTAAAGGACTAAAGTAATGGGTGAAGGCAAGTTTGTTATTTAATATGAAGTGACAATTTCTAAGTGAATAAATAGATTTCTCTGTCTTGTACTTAGGTTCAATGATTTCCAACAGTTAAGTAACAAGTATTTTCAATGTAAAGTAAATTCTTTCAACAGAGAATAAATGAAACTCACACAATAAAGGAAAGCAAATGCAACTACAAACTGATATATTTATTCTGTAGCTTTGCACTGAGAAAGCAAAAACAACTTTTCATAGTTCTCATTTCTCTTTTGACAATTATCATGTTATGTATTTAATTTGTTAATTTAATTTATTAATTAATTGTGTAATTATTTTAAATGAGCAGATAAGCAACAGTATGTAAATTATTTACCAATATAATTTTACTTCAATAAATTATAAAATCGAAATGTGATCTACTGAATAATGTTTATAAAATTTTATACCCTGTTAAATTACAAAACTTAGGAATTTTTGTTCAAGCTCCCTGCTGAATTAGTTATGCGTATTGGTATATTCCAGAAAATTTTTTCTAGATATAAATGCTTAAAAATGCCTACTAATTTATGCTTTATCACAATACTGTACTGATGGATGTCAGAAAGTGCTGGATGATGTTCTTGTATAGAGATTAGAAACATAGCTATTTTTATATATATATTTAAACTCACCAGAGTCAAAAGGACAGGATGGAATCTCCTTATTCCACTGACCATTATGGCAAATCAATTTCTTAACGACAAGCTGATGGTTTACAGTTTTTCCATGGAGACAAAATAACATAATATCTCCTCCATCTTTGATGCAATGACCATTCTTCACAAGCTTCCCCTGATAATATACATGTAGATCTTTATCAGAGGTCATCAGTTCACAGTATTTTTTCTCCCATTTATTCTCATCTGGTTCAGGGCATTGTGTTATAGTCGTCATTTCATCATCTTTTTTATCTTCTGGTTTGGATTCTAAAAGATGCAATAGTCATTACACAATTCAGTAATATAATATGTTTTATGTATATTCTTTACAGTATCCCACAATTTTGTTAGTCTTAAATGTTATATTATTTTACAGTTAGTCCCACCAAAGGCAGACAAGATTATATATTACAAACAATTGAATGTTTCTCTAAATTTAAATAATTTCACCTTTCTTGAATGCTGTTAATCAGTTGTTTAAGTAAGTAGGCACATCCAACTTTATCACTACGCTATAACTTGATTTACATTTAAAAGTAAATAGTTAACATTTGAAATAATGTCGTATTGTAGAAAACACGATCACCAATCCTCAGTGTACAACATCTACCAATCAAACTTCACTTAACATTTCACTAGTTTGTAAAACATGTTTTGTATATCAATCTTGTTTAGAAAATACTATTACCAATCCTTTCTATTAAACTCACTTAAATTTATTGCCTCCACAACATCTGAAGTCAACCCATTCCAGAGGCCAACCACCCTGTTAGAATAATAAAACTGCCTCGGCTGAAGATAAGTCCTACCTTGCCAAAATTTATATATGTGCCCCCTAGTCCTACTATTCATGTCGTTAAGTATGAAAATAAATAATGCATAAACACTATTAATTCCCTTTAAAATTTTAAACACCTCAATCAGATCCACCCTAACTCTTCTTTTTCAAGAGTAACGAATTTCAAAGATCTTAATCTATCCTCATATGACAAACCCTCCATCCTGGTAATAATCCTCTTAAACCTTTCCAACAAATCAATATCTTTCCTACGGTAAGGAGCCCAAGACTGAACACAATACTCCAAATGTGGCCTAACCAGTGACCTATACAATGAAATTATAACCTCTTTAAATTTGTGCTCAATATTTTTGCAGATACAACCTAAAATCCTATTTGCCCTACCACTAGCAACAGCACACTGCTTGGATGACTTAAGAGACTGATCAACCAATACACCAAAATCCCTTTCTTTCATGACACTGTTAAAGTTATTCCATTCCAAATTATACTTATAATTCAAATTATGATAACCCACATATTTATTTGCCCATCTCACTAAGTTATCTAACTCCTTTTGTAAATCAGCAGTATCCTCTTAACAGCTAGCAATACCCAAGATCTTAATATCATCAGCAAATTTAAGCAATTTATTGACTATTCCTTCATCTATATCATCAAGTCAAAACGAGCAATGGTCCTAAAACTGAGCTCTGAGGTACCACACTTGTGACATTAATCCAGTTTAAATGAACTCCATTTATAACAACCCTCTGCTTTCTTCCATCCAGCCACTCTTCTATCCAATTAGCTAACTTATCCCCCACACCTATAGATATGATTTTTTTTACATGCCTTCTATGTGACACATTATAAAATGTTTTCTGAAAATACAGATACACCACAGCTACACCCTCACCCTCATCTACATAAAAAGTAACCTTTTCAAAGAATGTCAAAAGATTTCTATGGCAAGATTTTCCCTTATTGAAACCATGTTGACTATCCAATAAAATTCTAAACTTTGTTATCAGACTTTCTAAAACTTTTCCCACAACTGATGTAAGACCAATGCGTCTATAATTACTGGGACAATTTTTATCACCTCCCTTGAAAAGAGGAGTTACATTAGCTAATTTCCAAACCTTTGACATCTACCTGCTATTCAAGGACTTACAAAAATAGTAGCAAGTGGGTGCATAGATCCAATCCATAACCTCCTCAAAACCCTTGAGGAAATATTCTCTGGTCCAGGAACCTTATTATTTTTTAAAGTTCCCAATTTTTTCTTAACAAGCTCAGAATTAATGCAAGTATATGGTCTGACTTTGTTTCCATCTATCAGTTGTTCAAGGTGAGGAATACTGCTTAAATCTTCATTAGTAAAAACTGAAGAAAAAGCGGAACTTAATAACCCACATATCTCACAACCATCAGATACAAGCCTTCCTTTATCATCCCTCAAGGGTCCTATCCCCCTCATAAC